TTTTAATCTCAGATTCTGATCCTCTAGACCTAATAACCCAAGAGAAAGCCTTGACCGAGACTGCGTAATTCCGTAACCAAGTGTGGTTGAGATAATGATATATGAGCTTATAAGCATGAAAATCAAGTTACGAAACCATTTGTCCTAACCTTTCAGTCTTGGGTCATTAACGTTTAACCCTCCAAGGAAAGGCAAGACTGGGGATGCGTATTCTGACATGTCTGGTTTGGTTGATGAGCTTATTCTAACACGCTGGACGAATGTGAGCGAAGTTAAAATGGTTTCGAAACTTAATTTTTATGCTTACAAGCTCATATCTCATTATCTCAGCCATATTTGTTTACGGACCTACGCAGTCTCAGTCAAGGGTTTCTCTTGGGTCATTAGGTCTAAAGGATCAGAATCTGAGATTAAAATTTTGACAACTCTGATTTAGGAACCATATTGCATATAGACGCTAACACGCACAAATACACATACTCATACAATCGAGCAAAAATAACGCGACCAGTATGAAATAAAAGTAAGTGTTTAATTTTTCTTTTGGCTCAATTGAGTCTATATAAGAAGTAAGATAAAGCCGGATAGTGTTTTTGGCCTAGTGCTAACGGGAAACTCTTACAAGAATGAAACCCAGCTCTGAAGATGTCCATGATATGATGGACGAAAGCTCAGCACGTTTTCACCCGAAACGAGGGAGGAAGTCTTGTGGACTACGTCAAAATGAATATCGTATAAAAGCCAAACGGCTGTAGTACGAGATTCATCCGTCCTCATCTGTTGAGATCGACAAACGAATCTCTTCTTCATTCACTTTGATACGAAATGAAAGTCCCTCTAACAATGTTATCTCAAGAGATTCACCGAAACCCGGGTTCACTTCGTATGTACAAGTGACCACTTGTCACTTTGAAAAGATGTAATTCTGTGCTAACGATGGCGCCTTTCACTGACGATGCCGACTACGATGTCTGCCAAAGGTTTTGGAATTCACGATGTCAATGGCATAACGCTGCGACCAAGTTGCGAAAACAGGGTCAAATCAATACTATA